CCACATCACTCAACAATCAAGAAAGTGCCCCATGGACATGGCCACAGGCCAATTCAATGAAGGCAATTCCCCAATTGAGCCTCCCTCAACCCAGGTGTGTCAAGTTGACACTAAAGCTATCCAGCACAAGACACATAGAATCCAATATTTGAATGTGTAATTATTCAAATACACATTTAAAGAGAGCCTTCTCTCTTTAAAAACATGAAACAGAAGCCTGAGAAGGCATTCACACCACATTCCTAACAGCCACCATCTCTGCTACTGGCAGGAGTACTAACACTTGGTCATTTCAGTCTTTGCTTGGAAGCAGGGACTCTGGCTTGTTGTTAATGGTAGAACACAAAGGTTTTTTTTTTTTTTTTTTTTTTTTTTTCCCCTCAGCTCATTTTGAGGCCAAATCACAGACCTTTGATATTAGTCTCCAAAACAGTAAAGAAGGTAAAGATGTTTGAGTGGTCAAAATAGGAAATAAATGATGTTACAATGAGCTAAAAAATTAAGGTTACAGTGGTAGATCACATGAGTATTTCTAGAAATATCATTAAACTTGACATTTTTGCTTCTTGAATTTCTGTAGGGTAGCTGAAACTCATTTTTCTTCAAATCTAATTTTATCTCACCTTAACAATCTATGGATATACTAACTTTTCAGCTCCCTTCCCCCTTATACAGTTAAAGGAAAGGGAAGACTTACTAAGACCAAGTAGCAGTTTGACCAAGGACAGGTCAGGAAAAGATCACTTCTGAAATTCCAAGCTCTCAAATTTAAAAACAGGCTAAAACTTGACCTGTGAAATCCAATCATAGACCACTAACAGTGAATCGTCAGAATTCTTTGTTTTTATCTCACATTGTACATTTTCCCTCTCCCAGATAAGCAGGCATGCTTGGGACACAGGGACCTACAGATCCAGGCCTATACTCTGTGTAGACCAGAAGAGAGGCTGGGACACTGAAGTCTTGTGCTTCTTTGATAGTGAGCAGAAAGGAGAACAAAAGGAAGTGAAATGAAGGGGATGGAGCTCCTACCACTCACATTAACACCTTATCTGTTTGTGATTGCGAACACTTCCTAGGTCTCACATGAATATGCTGCATTTTGCTCTCTTAACTGAAAAGTTATTTCATAACCAACTTCCTGTAATGTGTCTTGGAAACAAAAAAAAAATGAACAAACATTGATATTTCTACAATTTTCCCATTTTCTATCTTTAAAAATGTGTGGACTAGGAACTCACACGTAACTTTCCTGTTCTTTTACAAGCTCAAAATCTTTTTTCTTGCTTTTCTTTCCCACATAGTCTTTAGACTGAGGATGAGAAATTGTAAAAACTCTTTTGTCTGGCATTGAAAAGCACTGTTTTTTGTTGTTTTTGTTGTTGTTATTGTTGCTGTTGTTTTGAGACAGAGTCTTACTATGTAGCCCTGGCTAGCCTGGAACTCATTATGTAGACTAGGCTGGCCTTGAACTCACAGAGATCCACCTGCCTCTGCCTCGGAGTGCTGGGATTAAAGATAAGTTGAGTGCCAATGCCAGGCTGCATTGCTGTTCTTACTGCTTTTGAGTCACCTGAAAGCTGAAACAGGCCTTAGAGGGTTCTAGCCAGACCCGAAAAGCAACTTGAATTCTTTTTAGAAGTTCCTTTTGTGAGATACAGTCATTAAATTGTGCAGGATATAAAGTAAGGTTTTCTTGGGTGGAAAACAAATCTACTTGTACAATGTTGTGGTAAAATAACTGCTTTAAGGAAATATGAAAATTCTGAGCCGTATATACGGTGATTCAGTTTACTCCAAATGACTATTCTACTGGGAGGTTACATGAAGATTTCTAGCTACAGAACAAAAGAAGTCATAAACTAATACATTTACCAATTATGTTAGTGGTAGGATCAAGTAGGAAGATTAAGCAAAGTGGGGAAATGGATTAGGTTTTAGATGCTCTAGAATTATCCTCAGGATTATTGGAAGCTAGAAATCCCTTACACTCTGAAAAGTAAGTCATGAGGATATTGGGCCAGATATAAAAGTTAAGGCAAATAGATATTTAAGAGACTCAAATACCCCACCACCACCACCAAATGTGGCCTTCCACATACAACCTTCCACTTCTTCACAATCGGGATGTTCTAAGTCATCTAAGTTGAAGCAGTTTGTAGAATCTTTAATACAGATGCAGTTTCTAGGGAGAGCTTCAGTTCATAATCTTTAATACAGGTGCAGTTTCTAGGGAGAGCTTCAGTTAGTATATTTTATGAGGTTAATATTTCTCAAAGGTGTGCTCTTTGCCAAATAAACCCCACGCCTTATAAATTTAAAGGACTAGGTTTATTTTAAAGAGGCAGGCATCCTCATAAATGGTTAAGAACATAGAACATATATCTAACACAATTTGGGGATTCTAGATTCTTGGCCAAAGTGTTTCCAAAAATTCCTTTGCATTTTCTGGCATACTGCCTGGGGACATGTTTTAACTCAGCTGTGGGGAAAAAAAAAAATCCAGCCTGGTGACTCTGAGAGGTTGTTGGCCAACTGGGAGGCCTGTGAAATCACTCTACTGGGATCTAAATCCCTGGAGTTTCTGATTCACCAGCGCTGGCCTGGAGCCTGCATCTGCATTTCCATCGAGAGTCCCCAGAGGTGCTGATACTGCCAGCCCAGGAACTAATCTCTAGAGCCACTCAGTTATTCCAAACATCTGGTCTTGTCCAAACCACACTACAGAGTTTTCCTCATCACCTCTGTTAAGGAGCCCTGTCCCATTAGGGCTCAAAGGATTCGGGGAAGATGATGTGCATGGAGTTGGCCCAAGAACGCCCTTCCTACTGACCTAAGAAATAAGGAGGTATATAAAAACTAGACAGCAACTGAAGGTCAGAAGAACCCTCTCGCTGGGACTCTTGTCTTTGCACGTGATCGCTGGGCGTCTACACCGGGGCGGCTCCGGCCTCCTCCCCACCCCCAGGGCCTGCCGGTCTCTGCAGAGCCGGAGAGTCCGAGCCTCCCGGGGCAGTGTCCCCGGCCCGCCATGGCACTCTGGCGCGCCTTGCTCTGCTGCCTGCTGGCCGCCTGGCCCGGCCGCCCGGGACTCGGGGTGCCGCTGGCTCCGACGGTGGGTGAGTGCACCGCGACCCTGCGGGAGGTGCAGAAAGGCCGCGCGAGGTGGCGGTAGTGCGTGGGCAGCAAGGTCAAGGGTAACAGGCTGGGGCGGGAGGGTGGGGGGTTCCTCGAGGTGGGGCGCCGCGCTGGGAGCCTGCCTGAGCAGCCAGTGCACTGCTTGTTTACACTCTTGTCTCGCTTGTTTTGCTCCGGGAAGGGGAAAGCTGAAGCTGATGTCCGGCGGGAACGGAAGCTGGGAGGGGCGCCTGCAGAGTGGCCCCGCACCTCGGGTGAACCTGTACTTTGCACACAGACTGTCCGTCTGTCCTGCGTGGTGAGGTCGGTGGCTTTCTCTCCACTGGCTCACCTCTCTGGCTTCTTGCCCCTTCTTTAGTTACCATAAGACTCCAGCTGGCCCTTTTTTCCCTCCTGGGTGGCCACTAAACTCGTGATGGGACCAGATCTGTTCACTGAGTACTGCTAGTTTTAAGTATTTCACGAAGTGTGGCCAAGGACCATCACCACCAGCAGCAGCTTGTTAGAATGCTAAGGTTAAGCCCCACTCTAGAACTACTATACCCAAACCTGTAAGGTAGGGGTCCGGAGCCAGTTTAACATACAATGTGATCAAGCTAAAGATGGAGACTCACACAACTGAATGTTTGGTGAGGTTGTAGATGCTTTTTGAGTTTCAGAAATCAACATGACCCTCACCTCTCTAGCCCTCTTTAAAAATAATTGCTCTTGTTGTTTTGATTTGGGGGAGATGGCCACCCTTGAGCCTCAGAGCAGTACTGAAACCCTCTCCTATGGTCTCTATCGCTCTTCTACATAGACTTAGGAATGTTCTGAAAGAAATCCCTTCTCTGCTTGAACGTGAAGTGCTCCTGACTCTGCTGTCAGGCAGTTGCAAGCAAGAACTGTAAATCTGGTTTGCCACCTCTGGCAAATGTCAGTCATAACAGAAATTGCCCCCAGAACTGTTTATGTCTACTGCTTTCTGCTTTTATTATATCTGGAATTGTGCTATTTTAATTATGTGACGGTTGAAGATTTTTAACCTAAAATGCCTCAGGCTTCTCCACCAGAAAATTCACCTTTTGGATTTAATTAGTTGATTGCTAGAGGCTTCCATGAAAACTTTCTGGAGTACTGTGGATCTTCATAACTCCCTGTTTATGTAGGAAAGGTCGCATCATGGGTAGGGAAGGTGACATGGATCATCACCCACTTCAGAGGATGTAGTTGGTTTTGAATTACATGCATTATTTTACGTTTTCTACTGATGTGAACTTAACTTTCCTCCCCGACCCCTCAGCCCCAGTATCTGTATTTCCTTAACAACTTCCTAGTCCTGCCTTTGCCTATTTCATAACTGTGTGTTTAAATTCCCAGCCCTGGTTTTTTACCATGCCAAGGCCAGGTGGCCAGAGGACAACTACCCCAGTGTTGTTCACCTGCGTTTGTCCCAGCTCTTTAGATTTAGTACGGGGGGCAGCTGCTGGTGTAATTAGAACATAGGCACTGACATTATCAACAGATAAACCAGCAACTGTTTAAACAACTATATGTCCAGACAGTTATGGTTCAATGGATTCGCTAGGAAAAATTATTAAACTTTCTTTGACCTAAGTTTTTTCTTAAAAACATTTGAGCATTTATCTAGATATGTGAACACATATATTTTGGGAAATCTTTGGAAAGATTGTCTGAAGAATAAGAAAGAACTTTGAACCAGAAAATCTGGATTTGAGTATATATGGACTGGACTATTCCACAGGCCAAGTTGATGGCCTTGCATACCCATATACACACACATACACACAAACACACACACACACATTTTATGTATGATTTCATTGCAGTTAGGAGGTAAGGCCTGCAGAGGTTCTCGGCTTTTATTTAAAGCCATTCTTTGGTGAATCTAATCTCTCCCTTGTTTGACTGTCTGGCACTGTAATGTGGTGGGAAGAATGCACTGGAGTCTGGAGAGACTGGTTCTAGTTCAGCGTTCATTGTCTGATCATGTGATCTGGAAGAAACCCTGAAATCTCTCTTGGCCTAAATGTTCTTATCAGTTATAAATTAAAGTATGTTTGTTGAGGGTGTACGTCTGCCAGACATATTCCAGATGCTGGAACTCTGTGAACCAAGTACTGAATCATGTCAAGAGGGATGTGCCCCTAATCTACTTCAGGATTCAAATTTAATTCAGTCATGATGTCATTTACCATAATCTTCACTATATCTTATGTGTGGATGTCATTATATTCTCATGGGAGGCAAGGGAGATGGTCTGTTTGACACAAGCACATGGGAGGCAGTGTTTACAGGGGTTAAGGCCAACACCATCTGAAGTGAGATCTCTGAATTCATGTCTTTGCCTTCCTGTGTTTGATACAAATGGCATGGACATCAGTTCTCTATCTGTCAAATGGAGAACAATACTGAGGCAATACACAAGAAGCTTATAAAACAGTACAAAACATATACTAAGTACTTGATAAAATTTAGTGATTATTTGCAAATAGGGAAATTTAATTTTACATTACAGGTTTTATAAAATAATCATAGTAAGGCTAATATGGAGCTTGCTCAGCCCCATGTGCCTTCTAAGGGCTTGACGTCTAGTACTAAAATTACTTAATATTTCAACAGACGCCATTATTAATCCCATTTTACAAGATCACACAGCTAAATTAATTACTAGGTATTAGAGTTTATGTTGGAAGTCAGGCTGTCTCGACTTGGCGTCCCCACTCACAATCACAGCATGCTTCTGTTTTATATGCTCTACAGATAATCTAAACACAGACATACATAAAAATGAGAGGCACTCTATGCCCCAAGGAAGGGCAGCCTGCCTGGTAATGCTAAGCTAGAGCATACCTTACAGTATATCTAAGCAGAGGTGAAGTTTTAGGGCATTTTCTGCTTTATGGAATAAAATTAAGTACTTTTGGCAAGTTTTCAAATAGTGATTAAATACTGAATAATGACATGAAGACTATTTTATGTCTACTTTCACCTGGATTCCATATATTTCACTTCTTCGATGCAAACCTGTGTTAAACAATTGTAAAACACTGGCAAGAAATTACCACCAAAATGGTGACTCATCTTTTCTACCTTAGCAAGTTCACTGCTGTCTGGATTTCATTTCTGTTGCTGTATTAAATACTCTGGCAAAAAAAGCAACTTGAGGAGAAAGGATTTATTTTTTTCGAATTCCAGGTTACAGCGTGTTATTGCTGGGAAGTCAAGGCAGGAACTTGAGGCAGCTTCACATCACATCCAAGAGAGAAGAGAGAATAAACACATGCATGCTTATTTATATTCCGCCCCCTCTTTACATTTACATAGTCCTGCATCCCCTGCCTAGGGAATGGTGCTACCTACTGTGGGCTGGGTCATCCCACATCAGTTAACATAAGACAGTCCCCTATAGACACACCCACAAGCCAAGTTGATGTCAATAATCCCTCATTTTGACTCTTTTCCCAGGTGAGTCTAGATTGTGTTAAATTAACAATTAAAACTAATCATTACAACTGTTTGCACTCTGTTTCTCCCATTAGGTTTTGTTGTTTTATTATATTTGCAAAGATAAAACTTTGCATTCTACTTGTTTTGTTATGTCTCTTTTGATGTTTCAGATGTAAATTAGTCAGAATCAGAGTGATTTCAATACTCTGTGTGTGTGTTGCCAGTTTATTTGGAAGGCCATTTTGAAGAGCAAAGTTAAGGAAAAATACACAGAATACACTCACCAAATAAATATGGTAATTAAATCAAAATAAGGGAACTGTGCTCTGTTTTACAATTCCCCAAATCAGTTCTGTTGTCCTAAAGGTTGCTATATTTTCAAAGAAGGGAGAAGTCATGACCACTAATGCTGAGCTCAAATCTAACTGTTAAAACAATTAATTAAGGGGCTGGAGAGATAGCACAGCACTTAAGAACACTGACTTTTCTTGCAGAAGACCTGGGTTTGAATCTCAGCACCTACATGGCAGTTAACAACTGTCCGTAACTCCAGTTCCAGGGGATCTGACAGTCTCTTCTGTCTTCCTTCAGCATTGCATGGCATGGGTGCACTTACCTACATGCAGGCAATACATGCGTACACATAAAATAAAAATAATAAAATATTTAAAAAACAATTAATTAAATATGAGAAGAGAGCAATATCATTGAATTTGTATGTAAATTATACATAAAGAATCTTGAGGGCCCTTCAAAGGCAGGATCAGTTAAACTGTGTGGATGAGTAAATTTCCTACCTGACCCAGCATTAGTTTCTCAACTCGAAACAAATCATGCTTGCAACTGGACAGTCTCTTTGAGAATTAAATGACACAGTGTATGCAAATTGCTTAATATCTGCCTGGCATATGATACATATTTCTTAAAGAAAGATACTACTGTTTGTTCTAACATTTCCTTCAAGGAAGTAATCCTTCTTAGTAAGATTTCCAAGTAGAATTGCCATCAAATAGATTCAGTTTTTCCCTGAGCCCAATAAGAATATTTAACTGCTTCCCATAATATTATTGTTTTGTATAAGTGTTTGTATGTGCTATGATTAGTTGGCTTTTAAGAATATCTGGGGGTTCCTATTTTGTTACATGGCTACTATTAAAGATTTATATTTTTTCCTTTAATGCTAAGAAACAAGACTGTATAAAACTGAGATAAACATTTCCTGATTCTGCACACTGCTTACTTGTGCAATCTTAGTAAAGCATGTGATATTTCTAAATCCATTTTTCTACAGGGGAAAGTACATAATTTCTTACATAATAAATTCTTCAATGCTATTAAGACACAGTCTGATATGATTATTGGCCTCGCAGAAGGATGTCACTAAACACTTCATTATGGAATCTCATCTTTGTTCTATCATGTTTATTAGGTAGTCATGCTAACTCCAAGTTCATTAGTTCTGACACATTAAGTCGTATGTTCCTACTGTTTCTTGAATCTTCATCTCCTAGGGAAGGGTTGCATTTAACTTCATGGTATAAAAACACAAATTGTGGAGGCTTTCTTCTGTTATAAGGAGGAAAATTTGCCTTTAGTCTCCCAGTAAATATTTGTGTGGTGATGCCAAAAGAGAAATAAATTTATTGATTTTTTTTTTCTAACCAACAGGACAGTTCTGGCATGTGACAGACTTACATTTAGACCCTACTTACCACATCACAGATGACCACACCAAGGTGTGTGCTTCATCCAAAGGTAAAAATGCCTCCAACCCTGGACCTTTTGGAGATATCCTGTGTGACTCGCCATATCAACTTATTTTGTCAGCACTTGATTTTATTAAGAATTCAGGACAGGAAGCATCTTTCATGATATGGACAGGGTAAGTGATTATATAAGCACACCTTTATTATTTAGTATCGGCCTACAGTACATTAATCTTCATTAGTGTGCTAAATTTCATAAAGTTGCTTCTTAAGAATTATTTGGGGGGGCTAGAGAAATGGCTCAGTGGTTAAATTCTCTTGCAGAGGACCCAGGTTCAGTTCTCAGCACCTACATGGTGGCTGACAACTGTCTATAACTCCAGTTCCAGGGAATCTGACACCATCTTCTGACCTCCATGAGTACTGGATGACATGGACACTTAAATGCATGCATATAATACACTCATACACATAAATTAAAAATAATTAAATATTTTTAAAAAAATTATTTGGGCTAAAACTTTGTAAGTCCTATGCTCCGGGTGATGGTCCCACACCTATCATTATAAGGACAGCACAATTTGGAATCAGTGAGTTAGAATGTTTTTTAAAAAAGGACAGGCAATTGGGAGAAAGTGGGAGGTGGGGAATAATCTAGGAGAAGTTTGGGGGAGGGCTAGGGAGTGAATATGATCAAAATGCATTGTATGCTTTTATGAACCTCTTAAAGAATTGATAAAAAAACATTACATTGTATAAAACATACTAGGCTGAAATCGTCAGCATTATTAATAAAAACAATTTTAGAACTTCTATGGGTCTTGCTGTAATATAGACTTTAGAAACATGACATTGGTAATTAAGAGATAGCTTTATAAATAACATACTTCACCAATATTTTGAGTATTTGTTAGTATGCTAATAATTCTTAATTAAATAACTAGGGCTAAAAGCCAACTATGGGGGCTAACCTCTGTTGACAATCTTGTGAGTCACCATTTTCTGGTGGGCATTCTAACTGACTAGTTCCGTCCATCCTATCACCATGGCCAGGACTCTGATTCTAGTACCTGGAATATAATTATTGCTAATCCTTTTAGGTTATCTACTTTGTACTGGGTACTGTTTAAGTTAATGTCTACCCTGCAACTTATTTATTATAGTAGGGATCATATTATTTCCATTTCACAGATTAGGAAATGAAGATACCAAGGATCTAAATAACTTGCCCAAGTCAGAATAGCTAGTTGTTGACAAAACTGCTGTTTGAATCTGGATTTGGGCCCTGAAATCTGTGCTTTGCTAATCCTGTAATGCTTCTTTTAAGTCTTTATCAAAGTAGTGAAACAAGCTGCAATTTCCTGTTTATTTCTTGTGTTATATTTCATTTTCTTTTTTGTAGAAGTGTCTGTAGATGACAGGTAGATAAAGAGTAATTTGTTGCACACCTGCCCTCTTATTTTCAGATGTGGGGTCTTGCTATGTGCCCAAGCTGATCATGAACTCCTGGGCTCAAACCAATAGTAGGGATCATATTATTTCCATTTCACAGATTAGGAAATGAAGATACCAAGGATCTAAATAACTTGCCCAAGTCAGAATAGCTAGTTGTTGACAAAACTGCTGTTTGAATCTGGATTTGGGCCCTGAAATCTGTGCTTTGCTAATCCTGTAATGCTTCTTTTAAGTCTTTATCAAAGTAGTGAAACAAGCTGCAATTTCCTGTTTATTTCTTGTGTTATATTTCATTTTCTTTTTTGTAGAAGTGTCTGTAGATGACAGGTAGATAAAGAGTAATTTGTTGCACACCTGCCCTCTTATTTTCAGATGTGGGGTCTTGCTATGTGCCCAAGCTGATCATGAACTCCTGGGCTCAAACCATCTCCTGCCTCAGGCCACTGAGTGACTGGGATTTCGAGGATGCCATGCCATCACTCTTGGCTGTTCATTGACTCTTCAATTGTAATTTGCTACTTTTAAGTAGAAATCAGTAATTATTGGTACAGTGAGGTATCATGCATAAATCTAATGACTCTTTACACAAACAGACTTTGTTCTTCACAATTCTGTCATCTTATCAGGGATAGCCCACCTCATGTTCCAGTAGCTGAACTCTCGACAGACATGGTTATAAAAGTGATCACTAACATGACAACAACCGTCCAGAACCTCTTTCCACACCTGCAGGTCTTCCCTGCACTGGGCAATCATGACTACTGGCCACAGGTAAAATTAACCTCAACTTCCAGAAGTGCTTGGAGGATTTTCTTTCATTAGTAGTGTCACAATTATGACAGTAACTAGTCAGTGGTAGGGTGTGAGAATGGGTTTTGAGGAAGGAGCGTGCATTCCTACTGATAACCATCAAGGAACGTTTTGGTTGGTTTCAAAGGATTTTTAAAAAGAATTCATAAAACATTGTGCCAATAAATACATTTTTAGAGGCAGATTTGCCTACTTTGTAGATTATTAAATCTTATTTTCTTTTACAAGCTTCTTCAATTTATCCTGTCCTTTGAATAAGTTTTCTTATTTATTTGTTATTTCTATGATAGGTTTAGCAAACAAGATTAATGCTGACACGTGTGTACATTTTCCAGAACCTGTTATACATACAAAGATTAGCACATTCGGGCTTAAGACAGATTGTTATTAACAGCAAACCATAACTTCCAAAGGTGGAGGTCCATGCTCCAATTCACAATCCCATCTTCTGGGTCTAGAAACTGTGGAGTAGAGTCATTTTTCATTAGGACTTAATGTTCTATCCTGTCCTGATTCTAAAACCTTGCTTAACCTTGGGTAACTCACATGCCCTCATCCTCAAGTCACTTATTACAAACAGGAGTGATAATATTTATGTTGCAAGTTTTTACTAGAATTAGTGGTAGTTATGAGAAGAGCACAGCATGTCCTCCAGAACCTCATAAGCCCCTAGTAAATGAAGTGGTGAATAGGAGATACTGGCCCATAATGAGTTCTTTTTGGATTGCTTTGAGGTTTTGCTTAATTTTGTTCTCATTTTTGTCTTCTTTCTGCCAAGTTAAATCTCACAGTAATTCAAAGGCATAAATACTAACTTCTCTAACTTGGTCTATTTATAGCTGAGTTGAGCTGCACATATGTAATTAGAACTTTTATCTTTGTAACTTCTGGGTTTTATTTTATTGATGGGAATTGAATCCAGGATCTCGGATGTGCTGAGCATGTGCTCAACCACTGAGCTTGACCTCCAGTCCTTACCTTGTGACTTTTATATCTATTTTTTTTCCTGTTATTCAAGTACTATCTTTTCATCTTACCGTTTTAGGTATATCAAATGTGACATGACATGTCCCAAACAAATTCCCCTAAAAACTGCTATTTAGGATCTAATTCTGGATCATTTTAGGAAGAAATTTGATAAGTATGATTTCCCCCATTAAAAGCCTGTAAACCTGCACCACAGTTCTTTAACCAAACATTCAGAGATACACATCCCACCTGGTACATTAGAAGTAGGACTTAGTGCGGGTAGCCCATTGCTATTCAATTTCCTGTTGCTACCCAACTAGCAGTGTGGATCAGGATCTTTATTTCCTCCTACATTGGTGAGACTTTTGCCTCCAAATTCATGGATGGGTCACTCATCCGATTAGACCTCATTTATCAGCAGCAGTCCAGATTACAGCCCAGAAGGATTGTGAAGGTAGCTTGGTATAGAAGACAACTGATTATCAAAGTAGGTGGGAGGAAATAGGAGTTTCTGGGACTGACAGCTTTTTAGATAAACCACCTCATTTATCAGGTACTTGTATTTTCTATAGTTAAAAATAGGAAAATCTAGAGTGGTTTTTTAAAAGTATATATAACAAAGCACTTTATGACAATATGTTTGTGCTTGTTTGGTTTTTGGTTTTTGAGACAGAATTTCCCTGTAGCCTCAGATGACCTGGAGCTCGCTATATAGACCATGTTGGCTTCAATCTCAGTGATCCTCCTATTTCTCCCTCCTGAGTGCTGGGATTAAAGGTATGGGCTACCATGCCTGGCCTGATAATATGTAAAAAGGCACTTTAGGATAAATTTATATGTTTTTTTTTTTAAAGATTTTAAATTTTATTTTAAATTATGTGTCTATCTCTGTGTGTCTGTTTGTGGGTATGTGCACATAATTCCCCAAGGTGCCCAAGGAGGCCTGAGGCATCAGAGTCTCTGAAACTGGAATAGAGGTGGTTGTAAGCTACCCAGCATGGTTACTGGGAACTTAACTCAGGTCCTCTAGAAGAAAGGTATGTAGTCTTAACTGCTGAGACATTTCCCTAGGCCCCAAATATTTATATATTTTATTTATAAAATTAAAACATGTTGATATAGTATAGTCTGTCATAAATAGGCTAATGCCCGTGAAAAGCATGTGATTGTAAATCTGAATCTTCAAGAAACTGTGAAGCTTCATAATAGTTTTAGTGCTTTAAAGGACTTTGGTTGTTCAATTTTTTTTTCTCATTTTCTCAGCATCCCATACCAGCCTGCTTGTTCTGGCTCAAAACTGCCTTCTTCCTCAGGAGCTCAGTCTTTATCTCATCCTCTATCTGAGCCCTACCCAGACCCTATACAGGAGCTTCTCTCTGAATATGGCACATATTTCATGCCTCTTTGTTTGTCTCTGGGCCATATATTTTGCTTTCATTCCCTTTCTTGTCAACTTGATGAAATTGTTATTCAGCTCCCAGTTTAAATGCTGCCTTCACTCACTGCTGACTTGATGTTCCTGTTGTGTGCTCCAAGTGCCTCTGTGGTAAGCACTGGGCATGTGGCTTATGGTTAGTTGATCACATTTGGTTTACCTCTTGCCAGTTAGGTTATACATTCCTTAAAGGCCAAATTTACCTTTGTGCCTATAGATGCCTAACAAGTAGTTAACACTCAAGCAATGCATACGTTATTTAGTTTAAATGTCTTTGAAGTTTGAATGGTGGATTATCTTGTTTGTGGCCAGGACCAGCTGCCAATAGCAACCAGTAAGGTCTACAGTGCTGTAGCTGACCTCTGGAAACCATGGCTAGATGAAGAAGCCATTAGGACTTTAAGGAAAGGTAAGTGAAAGACATGGTTTGCCTCTTTTTTCATTTCTTACTTGTTTAGGCTTAAATCTTTCATGTTTGCTCAGATCTGCCCATCTTGGAGCACCTCTGTACACTTTTCATGTGTGACCTTAGAACACATATGAGCTTGTTTATCTTGTAAGGGAGCTCTTTGCTTTCCTGTCCCATCCTCATCTAAGATGTTTCACACAAAGCAAAGACTGAACTTTGAATGTGAATATAAATAAAAGTGTATGATTTTAATTGGAAAATGGATTGAGACGAAAGCATGGATACTTTTAACCAAGCAAGCACAATGTTATGAAATGAACAGCCAGTAAAGTGAGAGTGACTAAGCTTTTCATATGGACCTTGAGATGTTTACAAAAGTAATGTAAAAATGCATGGTAAGGCCGCTCCTGGGTGTAGTCGTGCCTCTCCACTCTCATGAGGGGGTGATGTGTGAAGCTGTGATAGAGACCACAGAAGTTCGAGATGCCAGGAATGCGGAACATCTTCCAAGGGAAGATTCAGAAAGCAAGCAGAGCTAGCCCAGGAGAGTGGCCACATGGTATGCAGCCAAGAAAGGCCATAGGGCTGCCCAATTCTTTGGTGCTCACATCCCACCACTGGGTGCACTAGATGGCAGACATAGAGCTACAAGGTCTAATGTTTGTTCTGCAGGGTTTCTTTCTTTCTTTGGTCTGGTCCTTCCTTGTTATTTTCCTATTCCTCTCCTTTGAAATGGGAATATCTGTTTAGACAACTTTTTTTTTTATTATGGTAAAATACCTGAGATAAAAAAACATAAGGGAGGAAGATTTATTTGGGTTCCTTTTGTCAAAGGTCCATGGTCCATTGTTCCATGGTCTTCTGATCCTGTTATTTTCAGGCCCCTGTTGAGAGGCAGAGGCATCATGACAGATGAGTATGGTGGAGAACAGGTGCAGACAGGGAGGGAGGAGAGGGTGAGGGGAGAGACAGGGAGAGGAGAGGCAAGAGGTGAGGTACAAGATATTCCTCCTGTGTTCTGCTTCCTCTGAGTACTGTCTACCTCCAAATAATTTATTTAGCTCTGAAATCATCAATGGATTAATTCTTCTGCACCTTCATGATTCATTAACCTCTCAATGTCTTTGGGGACATTTCAAATCTAAACTACAACAGAATATTTACCTTGTGCTCTTGTATGTTGTAAGTGTGTAATTTGTTTCTAGTTTTTACAGGGACTCACAGAGAAGAATTTACCCTGAGCCTTAGAGGTGACTTGACCTTTATTTTTGAGAAATGCTGGGACTGTTGAGAGTCACAGCTGGTGATTCTTGGAGAAACACTGAATGCATTGTGAATTATGAAACGACATGAGCCTTTAGGGACCAGGGGTGGAATGTTATCAGTGTGAAATATGCCTGTAAAGGCCCAGGTGTTAAAGGCTTGGTCCCTGGTGGGTGGTGCTATTGAATGATTGCGTCATCAGAGCACTAATCTCACCAACAAATTGATCTACTCATGAGTCCATAGCTGAGTGGGCTGTTAGGAGGTAGAGCCTATTTGGAGGAAGTTGGTCACCTAAGGCCCACCTTTGAAGAGTGTTTCTTTCCCCTGACCTTGCCCCCCAAATCTTTGTTTTCTGGTTGCATGAGATAAGCAGCCTTTCTGCCCTGTCCTGTTGCCATGATTTATTACCTCACCGCAGGCCCAGAAACATGGAGCTAAGTGACCATGGACTACACACTGAAACCATGAGCCAAAATAAATCCTTCCTTCTTGAAGGTGATGTTCTTAGTATTTTGTCATGAGAGAAAACTACATGAGACCCTTCAGAGACTCTCAGCTATCAACACATATGCCTCTGACATTTTCCAAGATTAACCAGGAGGCTCTTCATTAAACTAAGACTTTGGTGCTTTTAATGTTTTGAAAAAAATAATAATGGCTATACTTCCCTCAGTTCAAAGTTTTTCTTTTCTATTTTCCTTAAATTTGGGACTTTTGCTGCTATTTTGTTTTGGTTTTGATGACACTCAGTAAATCACAGTATATATGAATTCAGGACTCACTATCTTCGAATTAGGTCATGATCCTGATTAATCCAGGTATAGGTAATTAATATTGATAACCATATCTAGTTGTAAGCCCCCAAATGGAGGACTCGTACATACTGAAGGAAGAGCCACAAAGAATGATCACGATTCCTAATGAGCAGAGGAGGTACACACACTTTTAATCTCAGCACTTTGAAAGCCCAGGAAATAGGATTGTGAGTTTGGAGACCAATGATGTTCACCCAATTTCTAGTTAAATACTTGAATCACAAAAGACTTTCCTTGAAGGTTTTGATTTGGAGCAGAAATGCTCAGTGTGATGACCTCATACATTGTAATTTTGGAGCCTCTAATAAGAGCTGTTTCCATCTTCTACTAGAGTATCTGTGACAGCTTTCAAGAAATAGCTTTATTAGGCTGTGGAGGTAGATCAGTCAGTAAAATGCTTGCTGTGCAAGCACGAGGATGATCCTGAGTTCTCTTCTGGGGATACTCGTCAAAAAGCCAGGCATGGACTTGTAATCCCAGCCCTGGGGAAGAAGAGACAGGTGGATCCCTGGAGTAGCTGGGCAGCTAGCCAAGCCTGGTTGATGAAGTTCAGGCCAATGAGAGTCCCTGTCTCACTAAACAAGATATTTGACACCCATGGAACGACACTGGGTGTTGCCTTCTGGCCTCTACATGCTCACACTCACATGTGCATGAATACTTATATACACAAGAGTACCCACGTACACAGGAACCCCTACGCATAAATACATATACACTAACCTTACTGCTACCATGGGAAAAATCATAAGATGATGTAATTGCAGGGGTGAAGAAAGGCAGTTAAAGAAGCTGTGATTGCTCATGATTGAAAACTAAGGAAATAGATGCCTAGTTGAGTGGGTGAAGGAAAGAAAGCAGGCTCTGGCATACGGTGGCACTTTGAAAATTCCAGGATGGTGTCAGTAACCACTGACTGGGGATGTGAGTGGGATCATGCCTTTAAGCTTCTCCACTGATATTCTGGCAGTGCTGCTAAATCTGAAGGGTTCTTTTCCTGTGTCTCTCACAGGATCCTTGTACACTCCCATTCTTTAGATTTTGCATTTTTCAGTATCTCTCATCTTAATTCCCATCATAATAGAGGATAATGTACAAATTGCCATATTTAAAAACTCAGCCTCATTGCCCACTGCACAAACTTTTAATTATATTTTTATTTTTGAAATATTTTATTTATTATTTTTATTTTATGTGTATGAGTGTAATGCCTCCATGTATGTAAGTGTACCCATGTTGTACAATGCCCAGAAGAAGTGAGAAGAGGGTGACAGATTCCCTGGAACTGGAGCTATGAAAGATTGTTAGCTGCCATCTGGGTACTGGGAACCGAATCAGGGTCCTCTGCAAGAGCAGACAGTGCTATTAACCACTGAGCCATCTCTCCAGTCCCTTATGTATCTTTTTATCTATGATTATGTTCATATTTCAGATATTGGATGCAAACTGCTCTTACCTTAATATACAAATTGACCGTGGTCCATTTTGCCTTTCAGTTTATATTAAATGAGATTCTTATCTAAATGGTAAGAAATAAACCCAAGCTGCCTGACCTCATTGTAAACCTTAAGAATTTGCTTTCATGATGTCTCCATATTTGTGTGTCTGTGCTCCTAAAGTATGTTTTAAATTTGTTTTGTTTTTGTAGGTGGCTTTTATTCACAGAATGTGACAAGCAATCCAAACTTGAGGATCATTAGTCTAAACACGAACTTGTACTATGGCCCCAATGTCATGACCCTGAACATGACTGACCCGGCAAATCAGTTCGAATGGCTGGAAAATACACTGAACACCTCTCAGCAAAATAATGAGAAAGTAGGTCTCATAGACCAAGCTGGGAAGGGAAAAACAGGAGGCTAATTTCGTTTATTTATTGAACTTGAGGCAGAATCAAGAATTAATAAAAGTATTAAAATTTCAAGACTTGAAAAACTGTGACTAAGGGCACTTTCCTTATGTCAGCAACAGTGTAGTATAAGGGACACACAGGCTAGTGCAGTGCCTTAATAACATCCAGCTCTTTTCCTTTTTTCAGAAGTAGGAGAGATGCTATATTTTGCTTTTTAAATTTCAATTAATGTCTGTTCAGTCTTGAGTATCCAAACATCATCTAGTTATAATAAATGTGCAAACAAGCCCTCGTGTCCCTTGTGTCTTATGTTTCCTTTTCCAGGTCTACATCATCGCTCATATTCCAGTGGGATATCTTCCGTTTGCTAGTGGCGTCCCAGCAATGAGGCAATACTACAATGATAAACTGGTGGATATCTTCGGAAGATACAGCTCCATCATTGCAGGACAGTTCTATGGACACACTCACAGAGACAGTCTTATGGTTCTTTCAGATAGAAAAGGTAGCTGACACTCTGTGCACATCTCTTCATCCACTATGCTGGAGCCCAGCAGAGACCTAGCCTTATTTACAGACTCAGGAAGTTTAAGGCTTTGTTTGCAAACAAAGGCACATGCTTTTCCTGATTCCTCTCAAATGGCTGCATGTTGAGTGTTCAGGGCCTGTTGCCATTTGCTTGGCATCCACACAAAAGTCTCTGAAACCTTCAGCTCACTCTAAGTTTCTATTGGTTACTTTAATTTAGAAAAACAATTGTATTTGTTACTTTTCTGCTACATTCAAGTTTCTTTTTATATGACTTGTTTTATTTCTCAGAATTTAAAATGCAGATCAGAATTTACACAGTGCTAAAATATATAGTAAGTTAATTTTTAATTTGCCATTGTCACCTACTCAGCAGTAAACAGAAAGAAAACCGTGGGAAGCTGTAGCAAAAAACTCTAAGAGCTCTGATCCTCAAGCCGATAAGAAGAGAACACATTTCATTCTCTGCAGTAGTTTGAGAATAGTTTTGAAATATGTCTCTCATCCAGAACCAATTTTTCTATAGCAGTGACTAAAAGCATTTGAGTTTTAAAAAGCATTTAAATTTTAAGTCATAAAAAATGCATTCTTAGACCGAAATAAAATATGTTGACCCTTTTAATCAAAGTATTACATAGTTGTTGGAATATTGCTTTAGGTAAGGTACA